GAAGTTCACATTGAGCTTCAGCAACGATCCACATACCTTTGCATTTTCTGCATGTGGCTCGTGACGGACTCTCCGTCCTTCATCATGGTTGTTATCATGGAGCAGATGACTTCGTACCTCTCTTGTCGTGCACTTTGATGGTATCTTTTCCATCAAATCTTGGTGCATTTCATAAGGGTAGAAGTCTTCATAAGACTTTGGAGTTCAGCTGTCATGGTGGCTAACATGATGCAAGCCACCTTGGTTGCATCTCTTTCATGAGTATGAAAGTCAGCGATCTCCTGGGGAGTTGCAGTGGACTCGTCAATTTCCTTAAGCTCCTTTCAAGGACATATTCTGTCCTCGTAGCGGGTAATCATCCTGATGTTTCTGATCCACTTATTGAAGTTGGATCCATCAAAGGTGACTTTCCACATAGACTCATAAGAGTAAAGGAGCCATTAGGATTCGAGCCAGAAGCATTTTTGAAGACATCTGAAAAGAAGAACAAGTTTAGTTTAGATTTAAGAGAGTCCTTAATAAAACACCCAAATGTAATATTAAGGCTAGGATCCAATCACAATATAATATAACTTAGAAGAGGTATGCGTAATCTAAGCTATACCATATTTGAAAGGTAGGTGAATGACGATTCACCAATTTCCACACGAAAACCGAAATATTAAATATTTAGTTTTTATTGGTTTTAGAAATTCCTAGATTCTTTGAGATCCAATGAACTTTTCAAAGGCATGTTTCGTCTCGGGAGTGCCCCCAGGTTTTGTGACTGGGATGCCGAGGATCACAAAACGAGGTGTGAAGTAACCATGCAAATCACTTGGTACCTTAAAGTTTATCACTCAATCGATGTGCCGGTAAACCAACACACGCTCCACCGATACTATAATAAACCTTAAGTCACCTTTACCTACCTTGTTAAGTCCAAGTTAGTGTGCCGGTTAACCACACACGCTCCACCAACGACTTTGACAAAGTGTAAAGTGTAATTTCATGGATTAGCACCTTATTCACATTTTTCCTAAAGTAACTAAGATTGGGAATTTAATAAACATTTAGTTACTTTATTATATTCATCATACTTTGAATGAGAATTTATAAGTCCTTGTCTTACCCGTTCGGCTAACGACCCTCCACCAGTCAAGCAAGCGGTGGGTGAGAATATATACCCATTAAGTCACCATTTTATAGGCAACAACCTTATACCCACCTTATAGACCGGCTTCGTGAATGAGGCGTACTAGCGGTAAGACGACTTGTTCTTATACATATATATATAATTATTAAATTATCATAATATAAGTATAAGGGTTGAATTTTAACTTTTAAAATTCTAGGGGTTGGAACTAAAGTTTTAACTTAACTTTACTTGTTCCAAAACTTGAGGGCAAGTTTTGTAACTTTCAAAACTTTTCATTTCTTGTAACTTATGAGTTTAATAGAGTCATAAAATGAAGACTCTTCATTTTTATAACTCTTGTGTTTTCTTAATGGTTTTTAACTCAAGTGACTCTTGGTTTTCCATAACTTAAGGATAAGTTATGGACTCCATTAAAACACATTATGATCAAGAATTAAACTACCAAATAGGTTACAAATAATTCCTATGATCATCTAAAACATCATAAGAACAAGAACATGAATATGAACATAATCAAAAATTACATAAAACTTTGTAATTTTGATAACTAGTTGTTGTAAATGAATTAGCAAAACATTACACCACCAAAAACAAGTTTATATTTACTAAAACAGTTTAGGGTAATGTTTCTAATTCATTTTCCAGCAACTGAATCGAAATTCTGCACTCATTCGACCCTACTCGCCGAGTGCATGAACATGACTCGCCGAGTTGGTTGAAGATACACATGGACTCGACGAGTCCCCCTATAGACTCGACGAGTCCGATCGCAGACAGCAAATTTTCGATTCTGTTTTCAACTTTTAAGCACAAATAAGAGCAAACAAGCCTAGGCTCTGATACCACTGATGGGTTTTGAGCATTCTAACACTTCCTAAGTGTACATGCAACCCTAATAACCTTGGATCTATGTTTGTCTAATTTGTCATGCAAAGTTGAATTCCAAGGTTATATCCTATCTAGCATACATGGGGAACAATTTTAACATAAAGTATAGATAGAATAACTTACCTTGTTGTTGCTTGTGTTCCTTGAAACCTTGTGAGCCTAGCACCTCAAGTGGTGATGCCTCAAATGCTTCACACAACACCAAATGCTCTTGGAAGAACTTATGAGAGAATACACACTCTTCAAAATCGGCCAAGCCCCTTTTACTTAGTGTAACCGATTTGGGAGGAGATCATATTCTTATATAGTGTTGACACATCTAGGGTTAAACCCTAATGTGTCATGACTCTTCATTTCCATGACCCATGGGTTTGTAACTCCCATGGAGCATCCATGGAGCATCCTATGGGTGGAACCCAACTTGATGATCCATGGAGCCTTTTAGCCCACTATACAAGATATGGATGATTTACTTAATCAACCCATATATTTAATTAGTTATCTTTTGATCACTTAATTAATTCTAAATTAATTCTTGATCAAACTAATCAAATAATATTATTAATATATTAGAACTTATAATATATTAATAATCTCCAAGCGTTATTTCTCTCATTTAGTTTATCCAATTGCATGGTGCCATGCAACCCAAATGGACCATGCCGGTCGGGTCAAGTACATACCAGAAATAGTTATGGACTTAGACACCTTATCCAACAGTCTCCCACTTGGATAAGTCTAGTAACTATTACTGCAAGTATGACTTCAGGAACCGATCGGCAATCGTAGCTCTTTACAAGGTTTCTCGAAACTTGAGAAGACGATGGTACGCCATTTAAGATAAGTGATCATATAATCCTCTGTTCTAGATATCAGTCGGACAAATACATGGAACAATGTCTTACTTATTGTCCAACATTTGTTTCCCGATTTCTGATTTGTTTGACAAAGAACTTTATTGAACACATCAATCTAGTTCTGACTGGGCCCGGTACATAGGTCAAAACAAAATCATCGAGGGGCCCAGATATCAGCTTCTAATCCAAGAAGGAACAGATAAACTTCGACTCATATGTTTGTTCTACTACTTATTGAATTACACATAAGAGCACGATTTTATAACATCGAGTTACCAATGCGTTTTTCGTACAATCAATGCATAACCAACTCGTAAGTAACAAATCATATCTCTAGGTTTAAAGACTTATATGATATTACCGTCTCACGATCACTCGAGATAGAATTCC